TCAATGGATTATAAAGCTATTAAATTAACCATGAAATCAAAAATTCTTTTTTTATTTTTATGAAAGATTACAATTTTGTGGACGGATAAATTTTTATAATAAATATTGCATTCAACATGCTCTTGTAATATTTAATCTAAATAACTTCCCCTCCCTCTTGCAGTGACATCAGCAGACCACAATGATCCAATCAATTCCCAATTAACAAAATTACTAATTTTGTCTTGCCTGCATTGCATTTAGTCTTGTTCAAGAAGGCGTTTCACTCAGATATACGTCACAATAGGGAAGAAAAAAAACTTTCACAGCATTATTATATTTTAACATAATTTAATTTAAAGTAAATAATTTAGCAAATTTAGCTTCTTAGCTTTGGCTGAAGTAAACAGTAATGTATTTTTAATGCATATATGTGACTCATATGCGAGTGCAAACTCGTGAAATGATTGGAGACCGAGTTCAAAGTGTTGGTGCGGGTCTCGCTGGCTCATCTGTGACCAATACAGCAAGTCTTTGTGGTGTATGGAGCACTACGATATCCAGCATAATGTCGCCATACCACCATGTAGGACGAACCACATCCGAGTAATTGTCGACAAGAGGAAGCAGTCTCTGATAGGAATGTCCAAGTAACAGACAATATTCATGGTCAGGCTGCTATGGCCAAAACTTTTTTCACTCGTGCCAATGCCACATGTGTGCCAAGAGTGAAAATCTAGGACTGTGGACAATATGAAACACGTTGTTCTCCGATAACTCCACCTCCGCTGTCTTTCCCACATCAGTGGGAGTTACAGTGTGAAGAAGCCCAGAAGAGTCTTAACACTCAGACTGTTGTGATGTTTGAGCTGTAACATCATGGCATTCTCTATTCTACTTAATAGCCAAGTACCAAATCGTTCTGGAAGACTATGTGGACCTAATGAAGTAAACATTGTACCCTGAAGGGGGAACAGTAAATCAGCATGATAATGCTCCGATACATACTGCAACACTTGTGACAGAATGGTTTGATGAACATCATTGTGAGGCTGAACATCTCCCATGGCCTGCACAGTCTGTGATCTCACATGAGTCCTCGCATGATCTACATATTATTGAGACACTTCAAGGTGTTTTAGAGGAGCAAAAACGTTTTCCTCCACCAGCATCACATAGCGACTGGGCCACTGTTGGCTAAAAATCCCTCTGGCCACGGTGAAGGATTTGTATCTCTCATACACAAGACCAAATGATGCTGAATTGGCCGTAAAAGGAGGTCCTACACCATACTAATAAATTATTGTGGTCTAAAACCAGGTGTTCTTATTCATTGTCCAACCCCTGAATATATAAATATATCCCAAAACTGAATAATAATTGGCAGCAGTAATTCCAGCAGATCCTATGTTGGTACCTTTGAACATCCAGGAGTGAACGCTCCTGGCACAGCAAAAAGCACTCCTTTTTTGCCTTGAAAGATTTTAGCCATTGAGATGCTATTCCCCGGGTCACCCTCCTGGACCTCCACAGCGGGAAGACGTTGACCAACCTTAAAAAGGTTAAGAACAATAGCATGAATAATACAGCATAAAACACACACAAAAAACGATTCATTTCTTAATCTATTTTATTAATTTCAATGGGCTTTATGCACAGCTGCACTACTTCCTGAACTTAAGCTAGCTCCTTGTTTCCTTTCTGCCATGATTGGCAAAATTGAATAATTCAGGTGTGTCTGATTATTGTTGCCATGACTACTGAGGTCAGGCACACCTGAATTAATCAATTATTGAAAGAAAGGAAACTGGCTTAAGTTCAGGAAGTAGTGCAGCTGTGCATAAAAGCCCATTCATTGCCACAGCAACACAACTGACTCTTGTGATTTTATAACCCCAACCTTATGATCTAAAGTTTAATATTCTTCCTTAATGTTTTTTTTTCTTGTATGCCCTCATCTTTCTTTCCTTCTCTCTTTTTTTCTTTAAGACTAATGTTAAATAATGTTATTTCTTTTCATATCTCCTCTCTTAATGTATTTGGTATCATAATGTCTCCTCTCCTTGTTTTGATAGTTTGTTTACTGCTTGTATGTCTCGACTTGTTCTGTGTATTAACATTGCATTAATAAGTCTTTCAATGCTTGAAATTTTTTTTCTACAAATATAAGTTGTAACTACATATGAATTTGCATACAAAAGCTAAAATTGTAAATTATTTTGTATGCATTGAACTCAATAGTCCAGCAAACATGGGAACTCCTTCATGGCTCACTCTCAACTAAAACCTGGAACTTTTTGAAAAATCAATATATATTGATTATAGTGTAGGAGGCCACAAACCAAATGTTCTATTTGTATTATTATTATATTTAATACGAAATTTGTTTACCCTGATACTAAAATATAGGCCAATTCGGGCATTTTCTGTGATTTTTTTCAATTCTCTAGCATTAAACATTAAAGTAATCATAAAAAATACATATAGTATAAAATATATTGCAATTTAAATTGTTTAAAGAGTGTAAAAATGCTATGTTAACCTCTTAATTGTTTATTTGCATGCATGACACTGCAGATTTGAATATACTTTTGTTAAAGTTCTTTAGGAACATACATTACTATCAATAACTCGAATGGTGGATGAACTCCACAATTTGTTTATAAATAGTCTGAGATTATGTACGGATACTTTAATAATCCATAATGTAAAACATCGAATCTGCACAGCAAGCGCGCGACAAACGCGAGCGCTCCCTTTGCACGTCACAGGCCTAGCAGCTATAAGGAAATAGTTTACTTCCTTCATCACCAATATGACTTTAACTGATCGACCACAACATATTTGAATATGATGTAGGAAAGGGAAATAGTAGCGAAAATGTCTGCTCACGTATAAATCACGAACACACACCCATGCTTTTGAAATGCGCGCATTAAAAAACTCATGACCGCCACAGTATTCCAGAAGCTAATGCGTTTATTTTAGGCACAGTGCGACGAAAATAGTGTCAAGGTCATGTGTAAAAGCCGACAAATATGCTGCTCAGTCTCTAGTGTGCCTGATAAAAGCTCTTACCTGGATCGGCATGCTGGAAATGCGTGTGGAGTGTAGCAGTCGAATACTGTGAGCGGCTCGGACGCCTTTCTGTAGTAATGTAGTGGAAATCATCGCTTTATATAGGCTACCGCTTAGACCGACCCAGCAGCGCCTCCAGGAACACGACACTCACCTAGACTTCCCGACCCAATCCCTTCCCGTCACGCCTCGGCCTCCTCCTCCCAGTCCCACCCCCGCTACAGGGATATTAATCAAAGCATCTTCTCACCTGCGACTACTCATTCTTATTAACTTCTTTACTCTAATAAGATAATATAAGTAATGACCTTAACTAATTAACTGCTATACAGGATGAAACAAACAAAAATACTCTCTAATGGTGGATCATCAAGCTTAAAGAAACTTTTGCTGATAATTTACTCATCTCCATGTCATCCAAGATGTCCACGTCTTTCTTTCTTCAGTCGGAAAGAAATGAAGGTTTTTGATGAAAACAGGGTTTTCTCCATATGGACTTCAACTGTGAAGCAAACGGTTCAAGGTCTAAATGAGAGTCATGACTCGAAGGGTCCTAGATAAGACCCTTATTCATCGTCTGGTGTCGTTTAAAGCTGCACTGAAACTCATTTGGACCTTGAACCGTTTGGTTCCCATTGAAGTCCATTATATGGAGAAAAATCCTGGAATGTTTTCATCAAAAACCTTAATTTCTTTTCGACTGAAGAAAGAAAGACGTGGACATCTTGGATGACATGGGGGTGAGTAAATTATCAGCAAAAGTTTATTTAACAACAAACACAAACGTGTAATTTGTAATTTTACTTCCGGGAGGATGATGGGTTTTTTTTTTTTTTTTTTTTGTATTTCGAGTTATGCAATAATAATAAGGTAGGTAATTATTATAATGCAATAAGGTTAATTCCAATAATTAAATGATGCATTCAATTTAATGATGCATTATCAATTAAACTTTTAAACGCAATATGTCTGCAGGGCCGAACGGAGTAAATGGGGATTTTTTTCCAAGCAATACCCACAGATCAAGAAAGCCAATAATAATTTTTAAATGTAATTTTTTAAAAGGTGCCATTTAGCCCATTAGGCAGTGGACACTGGACACCCGTGCTGTTTGTGGGGGGAAATTGGCACATTTCATGAGATATCCATGGGGTGCCCAACCCTGCTCCTGCCGATCGACTGTCCTGCACAGTTCATCTCCAACCCAAATCAAACACACCTGCCTTTAATTTTCAAGTGATCCTGAAGACTTTAATTGGTTGCTTCAGGTGTGTTTGATTAGAGTTGGAGATAAACTGTGCAGGACAGTCGATTGGCAGGAGCAGGGTTGGGCACACTTAACTCTAAATCTTGAAAAATCAAAGATTAATGTGTGATTTATATCATGTAATGCAATATGGGTTGCAATTGGTCATGCTGGAAATAGCCCAACAAGAAATAAAAAACAGACCTAGAGGTTTTCCACACTAATTATGAATCCGAAATGGCCTCACGATGGCGCTGTTCGCGTAAACGAGTATCAAGTTATACAGGTTTTAACCTCACGGGGCAGTAAAAGGTTTACATGTATGCAGGTGGTGCGAGTGATGATGTGATGTTTTTCTATTACTATTTCAGTTTGCACTTCGTAGTCTGACTCACTTTGAGGGATTTATCTGTGTAATGGTACGAAGCGAATTATAAAATCTCTAAATGTATATAAATGTACTTTTAAAGTAACTGCAAACAACGGGAGCTATCAAATAAATAACTTACAAGCACCATTTGCAGTTTTGCATACAACAAAGAAGACAATGGAATGGACCACAGACTTTACATGAATTTTCACTGATTTTCTATTAAACAAGTCTTGAATAATAAAAAAAAATGACGATTTGTTTTCGGCCACATGAAAGAACAGAAAGGATAATGACAAAACGACATAGAAATCCAATGACAAGTGATGACTGACGGTTGTTAATTTATTACAAAAAAAAAAAAACATTGACACTGACAATATTTTAAAATACCTCTATTTTTCCCGTTGTTTTAGTGTTTGCTTTCTCTTCACAGTGATTCAATATGAACAAAGTGTATCACTACTGCTGAACCACTGAGCTTTACAAAAAGGAAACAAAGCACAGACATTTACAATCATTTGACTTCAACCAAAACAAATACCAGAACAATAATATTAATAAACATCCGCAAATTGAGTAAAAAATAGATTTTAATCTTTTAAATACAATATTTTGAAATACAAATATTGATTTGCTCTTTACTGTACTTATTACTATTGACTGTTATCACTAGTGTTACTGTTGAGGTTTGATTTACAGTATATGAATACAGTAAAATGTGAAGAAAAACAACATTTTGGTAAATTCTGGTATTGCTCATTTACATAAATATACACAGACACACAAAAACACCAAGCCATGAATTTAATTTATCTCTCAATCATTTGTTATGTTCTAAGTCTGACAGACAAAATGGCTTTATATAATGCTTACCATTATGAAAACACTACTGTAATATCATCCTTATATTAGAGTTATTATTGACACAAACATTGACATATTTTACAGCCGTCTTTGAATGGACCCACTCATTCGTGGTTATGTACACAAACCATGACATCCCAATAACCACTTAGGAGAGACATTAGCTCCTGTGTATATAAAAAAAAACATACTGAAATGTTAGGAAAAAAACCCTTGTATTTTAGCTTCGATAAATGCATATAGATGGAATCAAATTATATTGAGTTTTTTGAAATATACCAAAATTCCAATAACAGCCGAACTGGCAGTATTTAAAAAAAAAAGAGAGAAAAAGAGGAAGGTTTGCAGTGATCAACACATATATTAGTGCCTGGAACGGCAAGACTATTTTGAATAGAAATGTCAACAACACACACACACACACACACACACACACACACACACAGACAGGAATATAATGTCCACTGGCTTTCATATGTCTTAAAGTTAGTACTTCAACCACAAAAAGAGAAATCTAAAAAAACAATTCAATACAAAACAGACATTTTATAACAATCTCCCAAATGAATTGCTTTATTTCAATACCAAACCTGAGGCCAAGCTTCATAGAGTAGTATATGAAAAAAAAAAAAAAAAAACCTAAAACCATGCCATGAGCAACAGCAACTCATATGATCATCCAAAAGGCCTGCATCACAATTTTCGGGCCGAAACTAGTCTGCAGACCCAGATTGAAAATATCATAAATATCAACCATGGAAGATTCTTTCCATCTCGTCTATGGCGTGTATTTGCAGTGAACCACTTTCAGAGCGCTCATACAATCATTGCTGTAAACGTCATACAGTGAAAATCACCCTGAAAATGTGGCGTCACCTCCGAGGTCTGTCTCTGCACGTCAGTGGTTTTCATTTTTAGTACTTAAATTGGTAAAGAGGCCAAAATGGCAACTGGCTTTTCTTCCTCCTGTTTTCACATGTGTCGAATAAATAAAAGGTAGCGGAGTTGTAGCACTCTAAACGGAGTATGATTGCATATAATATCAGACGAGTGTCTGCAAACAAACAGCTATGAGGAGACTACGCAAACATATCTTAAAAGAACCCGACGAAGTCTCTCGAAGCGACGGCTCTGTTGGAGCCCATCTCATGAGGCTTTCCAATTTGCATTTAATGTTGCTCTAAACCACAGAGGCTTTCAGTTTGACTTTGAATATCACAGAATGACGGAGGCAATGTCCGGCGGCTGGGTCCATGTAAAAATGGAGGATTACGACACGGAATATGATCTTTTCTCTGGACGACCAGTGGCTCAATAGGTGACGAGCAGACCAGTATCATCTGATGAATCGAGGGCGTCACCGGAAGGTCCCAAGGCGTCCAAACAAAGAATCACAGCAAAAAACTACAGTAGTGGACTACAGGAGGAACAAACTCCGTTTACCCTGATTTAGACGCATTGTTAATTCAGTTCAGCATTCATAGTACCCATAGTCTCCTGTTCAAACAGTCCATATCCCAAAAACGATGACGTTAATCTTTAAAACAACTGCCTATTATACAAAAGACGGCCTGGTTTTCTTGGAAATTTTCTACAATCAAAAAAAAGTGTCTGTTATGCGACTACTCCACACAGCTAAATTTAGTTTCAAAGCAGGACGTGACAGAGCAGCCTCTCGTTCCAAAAAAATGGCTGACATCAAATGGGTTAGGAAGTCTTTCGTATTGCTTTCCGTAATATGATGTTGCAGTACCAGTGTACATCTCCAGTAAGTCTTGACTTATGTTTTGCATATTCCACAAAAAGCTAGCGGGACAAAGTTAGATAGCACTTGTAGTATGGCGAACGCATTATAAAAGACATTAACTTTCCACAAGTGCCTTTGATGCACCCATTTAAGGAGAGAAAAAGCTTTAATCGCTTGATTGGAACTGTAGTGATTGGTGGCCTACTATCAGTAAATGAGGAGAAATCACTGAATCGTATGATTCAGGTGAGAGTTCATATTGCTGCAGTCTCAGTAGGCGCCCTTGGCACGTAAATTTCTCTGAGTTTACAGTAATGGTTAGTTCCTAGAAATGGCCGTGAGGTGACAGAATGAATCACACGTTGTCTGTGGTTTACCTAACACTGACTGATATAGATATGAAGTGTCTGAACTGACCCAAGCCTATGGTTGACCCATTGAAATCAAATGGAGGAGGACGATTGGATGTGAAAGACCAGTACTAGCGGACAGCTACACAAAGCGTCTTCTTCGTATTCAACCCTTATGAAAAAAAGTTCTCTTTTGGCTCTTGCAGCCCTTGCGACAAAAAAAAAGACTTGGGGCAAACTTTTTGCCGCCCTTCATTCCTCCGTCATTTATTCTCTAGGGCGAGTCCATCATGGCCTCCAGCATCTCCAGGAAGAGTTTGTGCATAGGCACCCCGCCGCGGGTCTTGATGCTGTAGAAGGTGGTGAGGGCCCGGCCAGCGGTCTGCCTGAGGAGAGGCAGGGTGAGGAGGAGGCGTCCGGCACGCTGGGGGTCGTCAGGGCGTCGCTGGACCTCCATCTCCAGCAGAGCCTGATGCAGCAGGTCCCGTAACTTCTGCACGGCCTCCATGTCCTCAATGTACACCGAATCTGAAGAGAGCACAAGAGGCCGAGTGTTTAGATCATCATATCTAAATAAATCCATTATGTCATTCTAGTGAGGGTGCTAATTATGTATGTGAAAGACTGCAAACATTTCGATCCCAAGTGTTTATGAGAACAAAATAGCCACTTCCAGAGACACTAATGCAAAATAGAATTAGTAACTACTATTGAAGCCACTGAATCTGAAAAAATAAAATAAAAACAATTCCTGGAAAGTTTTTGAAAATAAACATACATAGATACAGGTCCTTTTCCGGAAAAAATTCCATATTTTATCATGTGTTATTTCGCAAACACTTTGTGGCCTATGCATACTACCGGTAGCTTGCTCGATTTACGTTTGTTACGTGCATTTACACTTTTCGTTAAGTGTTTCCTGTGTGAGGTACTTTGTGTTGGACGTTGCCATGATGTTCAAATGTGCACGAAACTACTACGATGATACCTCAATGTTTCACAGACACACCGAGAAATATGTCAAAAATAGGCTGAAACCGTGGAAACGATGTAACCTTGCTCTCTCTTGAAATGTGTCCCCATATTTAGTCCTTGAATTCGAGGGTATTGGACCTGGAAAGTCGTCAAAAGGTCCTTGAATTTGAAGTTAACCAAGGTGTGGGAACCCTGAATAAATTACTTGTGACTTAAGAGCGTGCAGACGAAACCCTCTGATGAAATTTGGTCGCAGATGCTTTATCTGAAGTGACGTATCAATTATTAGCCAATCATTTTTGCATATCTAAATGACCAGAACAATATTTTCTTTTCTTCTCAGAGCAAATTATTCAGTCATAGGAAATTAATTAATTAATTAAATTAATGTATTCAGTAAATGTGATTCCATCATAGTTTATGCACAGACCTTCTAGAATCTAAATGAAATAAAACATTTCTCCACCTCAAGTGAATGTTTAAATTTTTATGTGCATTTGGGACATTTTTTGTATTTTGGTTTTTCCATCCATCTATTTTATGCAAAATTTGCATAAAATGAGGTAGATGTAAACCCGAAAGATCGTTTTTGGTGAATTTTGGCGTACTGTATCTAAGGCTGGATCGAATCCATTATAAACAAACTGCTTCGATGTGTCGCATAGACGTCGTCAACGTCTTGCCGCTCCCTCCCCGTTCTGTGATTGGTCCACTCGCTGTGGCGAAAATTTGGTTCATGGTATCCAGGCTGCCTAGCAGGCAGCATGGGGAAACCCAGGCTAAATAAAAGTATGAATTTCTTTTTTTTTTAAAAGACATACTATTTTGAACGCTAGTGTATATTTTTGTTGTGATTTATGATAAAGAAGAGCATGACATTATATTCGGTTTGTTGTGATGTGCAAAGAAATTCTGACTGCCCAAAGTCTACTATGAGGATTACTGAGAGAAGCAGTTACAATTGCAGGCATGGAACAACAATAAATGAATCTACTACATATAATATAAGTCTTGTGCTAATTATTAACTTGTTGGCACGTGTGCTAAATGTCACTGACCCATGGATAAGTCTGTTGGTGGGGGTTAATGTTTAGCATGTACACACAGATATGTGAGGCGTAAGGAAGAGGTCTTGGGTGTGTTCAAGATTCAAAGCATGCGACTCCCAGTATTTGCATAACAAATACAGATTCTGTGGGTGAAGCAGATACGGGGGTTGAATTTATTATTTACAGTAATCAAAAGTTTCATGGGTTCTTCCAGGTGGGGGAAGAATTCATACAAGCAAACAGTGACAAGAAGGGTACGTTTACGACACAAAACAGAATATGGTCTGGTCTTAATTACTCGGTGACTCAGTCAGGTCAGGCGGGTTTTGATCAAAGGGTGACCAGAAGCGGAATGAATGAGTCATTAATAGGAAAATCTGGACAGGAAGCGCACCTGAGTTGGTGAGCGCGATGGCCTTGAGCATGACAAACTCCTCGCGGTCCAGCTGCAGGACCCTGAAACGGCGTGCAAGCTGACTGATGGCAGCATTGAGTTCGGTCAGACCGGCCACACGAGACATCTCCTCATCCAGCACGAAGTCCTCGGCAAACACCACCTCATCCTCGCAGCCGAGAGAGCGGTAAGCCACCCCCAACACCAACACCTCCAGCCACACCGACTGCAGCACGGACATCTGGTCCGCCAGTGACAGAGAGAGGAAGCCTGGATGAGGGAGGAAAAAGAGAGAGCTTGAAAAGTACATGTCCAATAAAATCAAAAACATGCTTAAAATGCACAAACACAGTTGGTTTGTCTAAAATCAATGTAAATGGATGGATCCAGTCTATTATGTCAGTAATATTAATAAAATTACACGAAAAAGAGAAAACCACTTAAAGGAGAACTCCGGCACGAAATGAACCTTTGGTCTAATAAAACATCGGTACCTAGTCAATCGTTCTCTGAGATTTGTTTTCATGATAATCGAATGTAAAGAGTTTTATCTCTAAAAACTGTTTAGCGTATAATGCTAGTACTGGGGGCATTTGCTAAGTAAAAAGAAATCGCTAGTTTATACCACTAACAAGGCTCAAAATAGCCCCACACTAACACAGTAACATAATGAGGGTCCATACATGCAAAACAAAGCATTGAGAACTTTATTAAATTATAAAGATACTTTATACATCTTTACATTCGATATATTTATCTTTACATTCGATTATCATGAAAACAAATCTCAAGAGAACGATTGACTAGGTAGGTACCGATGTTTTATTAGACCAAAGGTTCATTTTGCACCAGAGTTCTCCTTAAAATTTTCTGAATAATTATTTTAGAAAAATTGAAGCCATTGAGAAAAGCTACATGATGATGTTCTAATTAATACTGTTATAATGTTTTTAATAGTATTGTTGTATTTTAACTCATTTCTTTTGACTTGAGATTCTGACAAAACTGCTTTTGAAATATGAATTCAATATAGTAAAACGTCATGATGCGAAATTCCAGCACTGTTGGTAAATTCTGAAAAGCTTATGATAAATGTCAACACTTTTACCTCAGAAATGGGCATTTTTTTCGCCACTTATTTGCATAAAGTGGGACATTTTTAGCTTTTTGACACTGTCAATCTCATAATACCCTGTGCAAGCCAGCTGCTCACCTTCTACAGAGACTAAGAAAGGCTTGCTAATCTCAGATCTAGTTAGAGTGTGGAGAGCAGGATGAGAGATGTTGATAATGAGTACAGAGACACAGTGGACACTCACAATAGTGCTCTAAAATTGGAGGTCTTGAAAATAGCCAGAGACTGACTGAAGCACTTGAAATCACTCCTTCCAAGACTGAGCTCGGACAGCAATTAGGAGAAAAGTCTTCCACATTCTGACTAGCTCTGACTCACCAGCTCCAGTTCCCCCCAATTATAACTTTCTTTAGGTACCTGTTCTCTGCAGAGAGGTGTGATTGATCAGCACTTTCCAGCAGTGCAGAAATGTGAGAAACATAAAATAACATTGATTAACAATCTGCTAACTGTTTTTTAGCTGGCATTGACATAGCCTCCTAAAATGTTAGCCTGTTATTAATACATAGACAATTTTTAAGTGCCATCTTTTAGCGAGGCTGTGAGGGATAGGCAGACACACATCTCTTCAGTGGGTTTTACTGTTACTTAAAGTGTTTTTGGATTGTTCTGCTGATGAAACACTGCAAAAATATTTTTCTAAACAAATTTCAGAAGACAAAAAAAACTCCAGACAACATGAGCTGTGGAAAATTATAAGTGATCTATAGGAGATTTATACGGCTTTTTACGGCAGATGGCATTGAAAACACAGTATAAGTCTATCCCTCACATCCTTATTTTCATACCAGTCATGGCGCTGCTCTGAATAAGGTCTATTGGCATCTGGGCTGCGTTCAGCCCTCACAAAAAGTTGCAAAACGTGTTTTTTTTTTTACGGAAACAGTGGTGTGTTAAACACCCTGTTCTGATGATGCAAGAGTGGCAACTATGGCAGCTGAGAAGGCCACTCTTTGTGTTCTTTTTGAAGAATTTTCAGAGCCAGATCGGTATAAATACACGTTTAATACTGCAAAATACGCTCGATGTTACAGTCACTGCCCTTGCCGTCCAGTATAAAAGAGAACATCCCAATCGAGTGAAGGGATTTGTGGAAAATATGGTTCCTAATTATTGTGATCCTACATTTGCCTCGCATTTCAGGATGAAAAGACAAACATTTCAGGTGAAGGAAAATCCACTTCTTACCTCCGAGACTGTGTCTTATTTTTATTGTGAGTATTAGGCTTATCATTATTGCTGATCTGCTATAGTTTTACTAAAAAAACTCTTACGACAAACATGTCTTCTAATATCTTTAATTGTTGCATATACAGAGCTGCAGCGGACACATTTGTAAAAGACTTTATTTGCACCCATTGTGCATGTGTGAGCTGTCTACCACGTGGTTTATATGTATGTACCACTCTGTTGCGGCTGACATTTTAGACACACCCACCAAACAAGAGGAAAATGTATCTCAAACCCTGTTGCACACTGTATCCAGGAAACATGTCATTCAACCCGGAAACCATAGCAAAGCGTTGTGCAACGGTTTGAGCTTTAACGTGCCACTGATCTGCTCTTCTTCCAAACGCCAAGGCCCGGTTTCAAAGACAGGTCTTAGATTAAGCCAGGGTTTAAGTTGCTTTCAATTAAAACAGCTCAAACAAAGCTTAAGCCTTGTCTGTGAACCCGGTGGCAAGTTTAGTGTTATTTGGCTAGTAAGTAGCACTTTTCCCAGTAAAAAGCATCTGTATAACTAGATCAAGATCAAGAAGATCAAGGATTTGCACGAGTAAACATGATGATTTTTTTTTTTTTTTTACCATAGACCAAAAGAAGATATTTCAAAAGAGGATGTCTGCTACTCTTGCAGGGGACCTTTGCTGCTAAAATTAGTACCATTATATTCTACTTCATTCTAGTGGAAAAAATGAGCCCTTCATAAGATCTGGTCCATTTTGCAAATGATTCAGTCGCCACAATAGCCACTGTCTGACCAAGGTACAACCACTGTTCATTATGTTATTATTATCTGTTCACTGTGCATGCCATTTATCTGAAATAGATAAAGCCATAATAATAGACCACCATGAAAAAACAGCAGGAAATAAGACTAATTAACAAACCAACACCCAACTAACAAAGCAGAATATATATATATATATATATATATATATATATATATATATGAAGAGTTCAGATGCAAAAGCCTCTAAGTGCCATTTGAAATTTTCTGCTAGAATGATCATTTTTATCAAGCTTGTATGTTTAAGTTCAGTGATTTCACTTAAATTGCAATGAGGATTACCTATTAATTGTCATTTAAGTGAAATTAGAGGCTTTTGCATCTGAACTCTTCATATATATATATATATATATATATATGATCCCACTAAACTGGTAAACTTTTGCAGGGGGTACCTGACGAAATCCAATGACTTTTTTTCATCCCCTATTAACCCCAAAAAACTTTGTTTCCAGGCAAATTGATATAAAACCCTTTAAGCCCTTAGTCAATAAATCAAAGAACAGCTTATCCAGACAGTACATTCTAGTTTCATGTGCAATATGAATCAGACGGTGATTCATGTTGTCAAAGGTCGAGGATGGCATAACCGTGTGGTAGTTTTACTTCAGCTTAAGTAATAGGAGAATGAGAAACTTATAGCCCGACACCAGAACACAGTCTCGCAGTTCCTCTTCTGGCTCTCACTTACCAGGAATGTGCTTGGCCCAGCCGATGATAACAACTAGTTCCCGGTCGGCCAGGTCACAGAGAGTGGTGAGCGTCCGCTGGGCCGTGTCGGGCTGCAAGGGGTCTGGCATAGCAAACAGCTTTTCTGGCTCCGCCACCAGCAGATGAGACACAATGATGCTGGATGAACCTGAGAGAAACAAACTAAACATTACTCAGCTAAATAATCAAGTCAAGCTTAAGTTTATCTATCAAATGTTCAAAACTGTTTTAAATCAAATCAAATAAAAATATAAAAACAAAGCAGTTATTAAAATAATATTTTATTACCCTTCTCTCCCTCTTTTCTTAAAGGTATCGGTGCGCTCTGGTACGTGGCATTCTCCACCTCTGGGCGTCTCTTGTACTTCTGCCGTCCTCCTCTGACTCTGTCCAGGCGGACTCCTACACCCAACACAGAAAGTGGCATTAGGGCATTGGCACTGCCTGTACACCGTGAGATACTTCGGTATCGTAAGAGAGAGGACTGGGTGTGCTGGCCAGGTGCCACCTCACCTTCTTTGAGCATGCCTACTTTGAGGCACTTGGTGAAGCGACATGCCTGACAGGCCTTCCTGCGGCGCTTGGTGATCTCACATTCATTAGAGGCGGGACAACTGTACTCAATATTGCCTGTTGGATGGAGATGAAGACGTTATACTAGAGTTCACAGCAGTGTTTCCTATAGAATTATGTTTTTTAGTGAGCGAGAAACCACTTACTCCTCATAAAAAATATTAAATATTTCTATTTATAGATATTTATTAACAATAAATATAATTCAATAATACAACTAATTCAAATTTTTTATTTAAAATATATATTTTTTTAGGGCTGTCAAACGATTAATCGCATCCAAAATAAAAGTTTGCGTTTACATAATATATGTGGGTGCACTGTGTATAATTATTCACGCATGCATGTATAATAAAGAAAAAATGTTATTTATATATAAAATATTTATATAAAATACAAATTATAAATAAATATATATACAGTATATACATTAAAATATTTCTTAAATACTATATATACAAGCATGTGTGTGTATTTATATATATATAATATAATAATACACAGTGGACCTACATATATTATGTAAACACAAACTTTTATTTTGGATGCGATTAATCGCGATTAATCGTTTGACAGCCCTAGTTTTTTAAATTTATTTATTTAAATATTACCAAAAGAATTCAATATCTTTTAACTAAATGTCATATGAACAACCAGTCAGTAATGATACTTTCAAAAACGATGATAGGGAAAACAACAGCTATTGCTTAATTAGACTTGCTGTTCTTGGTTTTATTTCAGAGAATGCAACTCTTTATCTCATCACATTCAATCCTGGATAGATACACGTCGTATTTGAGGCGGTGGCTCTCAGGGGGGCAGGAAACACTGATTCAGACCACTTGGCTTACTTACAAGTTATCTGTAACGACAAGTGAATCTGTTACACAGTATGACATGCTTACCCTGTATGGTTCTTTTGAAGAAAGCCTTACAGGCTTCACATGAAGCCACTCCGTAGTGGTAGCCAGACGCCACATCTCCACACACCAGGCACAGCCTTTTGGGAAGCGTGCTTAGTGCATACTTGCAGCGGCCTCCCCCGCTGCCGGTAGAGCCCTCCTCGGCTCCATCTGCACCCTCCTCCTTAAAATGGCAACGTAGAGCAGGGGTGTAAAGGGGCGGGGAGTAGCGGCCAGCACCCTCTCCTCTGGAACCCCCTCCTGCACTCTGAGAGGAGTCTGAGGACGCTCCTCCCGGGCTGGTCCTCCCGCCGCCGCCTCCTACTCCACCTCCTCCTCCTCCTCCCTCAGGACTGCTGGGTTCAGCCTTTATGTACAGGTCGGAGCGTCGCTCTCTGGAAGACATGATACCTGAGGAGAAATATGTGAGACAATGAGGGACCTTTTTAGTTTTAACTTCATCATCAACATCCTCTTGATGAGGTCAACACTGAATGCTTACGCATTTGATTTGCGACACTTTCAAATATGCCTTTAAATCAGATATCTGATATCCAACCATCTGACTCTGACCTACATAAAATGAATCCATGGGAATTGCTAGGCCTATGTCTGAATCCTAAAGGTTAATTAATCAACAGACTCAAAATGAAGTGATGCATGTAATGTCACAGAACAACCAGGGTCAAAAAGTATCAAGGTTTGGGTCAAAAATGACACTGACATGAGTAAAAATGCCTACAGATTCAAGATATAGAGAGAAAATCCCTGTATGCATTTTCAAGTATTAAGAGTATTAATTAAGTATTAATTTTAGACAATATCATCTGTTTTTGCAGTTGTCTAGTAGCCTACCATTTAATTTCCCCCCCATTATTTCAAACTTATATATTCAAAATTTAAATTTGATATCTAAAAGAAATTAATGTTATAATAACAGTATTTACATAATTAACAGCCCTGTAGTATTATTTTAATTTATTGATTGCACTCAAGAATTTGATAAGGTTAGCATAAAAAAAGCCTTTTAAAAGTACAAAAGCCACTGGAAATCTTTTTAAGTGGGCAAATATCACCTTAATGGAAAAGTTAATTACTGGACATTCTTTAATAGGAGAAAGATCGCCTCCATATTAAACCTGTGAAGGCTACTGCTAAAAATTAACTCAATCCAAGACTGTGCTGTTAGCCTCTGAGAATCTAATCATTAGTGCAAACACAATCAGACTGTCTTAAAGGGAAAATGTGTACTTTTGTGTATTTTATTATTTAAAATAAATATTTTTTAATTCATAAATATATGTCCTCTAAGGTGGACAAAGGTGGTTCCCTTATCCTTGTAAACTAAGAATTTGTTATCTTTATTTACATGCGACGGGTTGGTCCAAGGAGGCTTCCATGTAGTTCCGCCATCTTGAAAAACTATAATAGCTGAGAGGGACAAAAAGTACAAGGCCAACGTGTTTCCACAACACATTTTCATGGGAGAAATTCCTACACATTGTCCCTTTAAGTGAATGTAAACAGACAGGACAAAAAAAATACTACGCGTCTAAATATTGAATATGTGCAGTAGGCCTTACAGTGGAAGTCTAAAAAAACATTTTTTAAAGAAGTTTTATTTTTCAGTAATCCTTGCTCTTTTATTTTTGTTAACACACAGGTGCATGCTGAGCAAGCAAACAGCATTCGAGCCCAGAGATGAACAAACACCTTTATGTCCTCACTCTCAAAGCACTGTTGGGAAGTCTCTGAACTGTTTTCTTTGTTTTCTCCATTGAAACATTCAAACAAACCAATTCACTGCAACTAATCAATCTTCCCACTCAATCACTTATGCTCAAACAACAGCAACTCTAAGGATGCAAATTGCAATACATTTAGACAATGTTAATATTGATTCTTGAGATTTCATTCAGCTTGCAAAATAGTATCAGAGCATTTTAACGAGTATGAATACATAGGTTCAGTATTCATAATTTTGCTTTGCAAAGCCAATCAAACAAGATCTACACGTCACTTGTATGGCAATTCAAACAGACGGAAATTTATTACAAGCCCTTGCATTACAGAACAGAACAGATATATGCACATGACTTGTGCACATGGCAGAATTGTGCACAAATCCATAATCCCAGTGCCATGGACTCAGTCCACACCAGATTAGGGTCATTAATCCAGGAGAGGGAACCAATCGTCTAATTATACCTCCACAAAAGATGCCCTACTACAGACTCTTAACCGCTCCATGGTACCCACAGTTCATAAACCCCCCTCGGGGATAAACTGACCTATGATGCCATTCCTTAAATTTGCTTATCTTGCCATTTTATGCATTTAGCGAAAAAGAAATAGGGTCTACCACCAATTTCACATAAAAAATTACCCAAGATGCGTAACGACTGCCAAGTAGGGAACACAACCTGCAATGATAAATGCTCCTCATGATTACTGGAGCAATACCAGGGTTGTGGACGTTATGATTGAGCAGCTAGTCATACATTTTCTGAATATACAGGTTAATGCACATATACGGACTCACATCATGATCCTACACTCTCTGCCACTCGGATTACGGCCAAAAACCACATTTCCACCTTCATTTGTCCTCAGCAGATATCACACAAACACTATTCCCCTTTCACCAGATTGTGTGTGATGTGATGTGTTGCAACTTTGGCAAGTGTGCAGAATGTAACTGAGCCCCACTGCCTCCAAGTCCACTGTACTTTCTGCCAAACATGTTCATTCTGCCTCTACCACACTTGCATTAACCTGAGCTCTGAACCTAACCAACAAAATGGTGTTTATATGATGAATATGGAAGATGTGTGAAGGAAATCAACAGTGACAGTAATGGCGCTTATGTCACTTGATCTCATTCTTTAGCTTTACCCGGTTCTTTGAGCACTCTCCCACTGAACCCAATCACGTGGCTACAGTGAGGACACGCGCCGCTTCACAGGAGGTAAAGTATCCAATCGTGAGGACAAGCTGAGATCTCTAAATCCCTCATCAAACTGAACGAACCGGATATGGAGAAACGTTCCGGTTCAGGGTTCAAACACATGTAAATCATGACAGTCTACAAAGAAAAAGGGGCAAACGTGGTATCTATCGTACCAACCTCCATCGTCATCATCATCATCATCACGCAAGGGCGTTTCTCCCGCAGAAGTTCAGGCAAACCTTGCTGATATATGCGATTTCCGATCAGGCTTATTAAATTGAAAAGCTGGGCTTTAAATGGTGAGAAATTTGATGTGGCGTTTGAAGTCCAACGGTGAGTCGTTTCACTCGTCATCGCGTTTTTACGTAATCACGTGGTCCCTGTCATCACCGCGTGGCATATTCATGCTTTAAAACGCTCCAGAAAAGCAAAATGAATTTAGGGACAAATTACTGTTTATTACGTTGTATTAACAGGCCAGCTTATCATAATTGATATGCCCCAGCCCAGATAAGTTTGTTGCAGCAACACATGAAAACAAAGTCACCTGGAGCTTTTTTCATTTTTAACAGTTACATTAAACGATGGGCTATTTATTCCTCTCGGGGTGATGTACGTTTTAATGCTATTTATTAAAACCAAATCTCGCTTGTTGATATAAATATTTTAAAAACAACTCGTAAATATATTTCCAGTACGCTTTTTAAAGCAACCTAACGTTACTTTTCGACCCATATAAGTCAAATCATATCAGATCACTCGGTTTTGCTCATTACGAATCGGGCATGACAGTTATCATCAGTCAAATGATTCGGAGTTTTTCACTTAAGAACTGCTCACCGGTTGACTAAAAAGATGATTAAATACTAACAATAAGCACATTTTGAATGTAAAAACAGCTATTTCGGTGTGCTATGCTACTTTATCAAACGTGTCGGTCTGGTCTGTAAAGCTTCTAAACAGGCTACATCCGGATTTATGCTCGTTTGAATTCTTATTAACTTAACATACAGGTTTAAAAGTCCATCTGTGTTGCTCTCATAAGAATCAGCCAAATGGTTATCTAGCTTAACGTCATAGCTTTCGCTAACTTACCTACTCATTCAAGATCAAGATACGTCCCACGTCTTCCAAACTCTACCGGAGAACATGTACCCAAAAATAGATATGCATTGACTCACACAAATAAATCCGTCTGTGTTCCCGAATAAGCGTAGTTTAGTTAGCAATGCGCATCTTTGAACTTCGTTCACTTTCCCCCCGACAAACGTGTCATGAGTCATTGGCTGCCCTCAGGAGGATGGAGGAGAGTTGCTCATATGCAGCCACATATGTACAGTAATTTCAGATAATCCTCAATAATGATTGATAAAACAAAATTAGACATGTTATAGATTTCCTTCAGCTCAAGCCAGTTAAGTTTGATGTAATGAGAGACAGAAAAATCAGTGACTCAAAATACAGGTCTGAACTCTGATACAAACATCTACTATATTCCCAGCTGAATACCTATTTTTGAATGACTTAAAATATACTTTATGTATATTTAAAAATTACATAATCCTCTAAAACGGATATAGTGTTAAAATTAATGAATAAAAATAAGAGAAAAAGCTTTTTTAGAGATCAATTAGCTTACCTTTTGCTCAAAAGCCGAAGGTCTTTAGTCTTGTTGCGTATGCTGAAAATCTCACTTTATTTTGGAGTCAGAAGACTGCAGGTCAGTTCACACTGGGTATCAGGAACCCTGGTAAGAATAGAGAAAATTAGTGATACATCAACACAATAAATATTAGACTGAATATGCATTAAAAAACAAGGCCTCGTAAAATGCATTGCTTCGGCAGAGGCACATATTGTTATTAAGTTGCTAAATAATAAATAAAAACGAAACCACCATTAGTCTGAACCACATCTTCTCAAGCTAAATGAAACCTCCCATAAAAGTATTGCAGATATCTAACAAAAATGCCAGATTTAATCAGACAACATTAGCTGTAAATGTGGTCTCAGCACAGCAGCATTGTTTCTTTCTTTTAAAAATGAGTCAATCCTGGCCAATGTCACATAAACCTCTAGCAGGGCTGTATAAGAGCCTGATTTGTACCCCACATTAATCTGTGTTTATTACACCGTATCCATGTTTTACCCCTCACCACCTTCACCATTAGGCACAAAATACTGACTGAGGGAGAAACCATTTCTTTGTCTTTCTACCAAGCAACCATTCTCTGGTCTTGCTCACTGTCATTCACGCAATTTCGGCATGCATTCAGACTCATGGATACTCTCATATGATTTCTGCACACAACATTCCCCCTCCCCCTCCGCTCTCTGACACATTCCAAAGGTCAAAGTCACTGGAGGGGATTGAAGGACAGCCACAGTAACTTCAAAACGGCTCTGTGTGACAGCAAACACAATGTGGTTCACAGCTGAGAGACAATTCTTATAAAAGAGATATGGGTAATTGCATAGTTATTATAATTAACTAAAACTAGAACCATAAAAAAACAACTGATTTACAAAAAATGTGCATTGATAAAACTATGGGCAGGCGAAGTTGTCTTACAGAAAACTAAGCCCAGAAACCATTCATATACTGTACATACGCATACATTATATTTAGACAACCGACACAGTTTTTGGCCTCCAAATATACTAATTTTATCTTTCAGTGACTTATACTTAATAACAGGTAGCTTATGAAGAGATAGGGTGTAACTAACAGCATTAATGAATGATGATTTAAATGAACTGAATGTCTTTGTCACATTTTAAAAATACAAAAGAGAAATTGTTTTAGACTTCAATGTTGCTGTTGGCATGGTCTGTAATAGTTCAAGATTTCTACTTGTGGTTTTTTTTTCTATCCCTTAAAGGGATAATTCACCTTGAAATTAATTTTTGATATGTTTTAGCCTACCTCAAGGGTATCCAAGATGTAGGTGTCTTTATTTTTCACAGTATTTTCAATTTTGATATTTTTGTCATATAATGGAGGTACCCCATATACCTCCATTATATGACTGACAGACAAGAATGGTTTGAACTTAAAATATCAAAATTGAAAATACTGTGGAAACAAGTATTTTCACCTACATCTTGGATGCCCTTGAGGTAGGCTAAAACATATCAAAAATTAATTTCAAAGTGAACTATCCATTTAAGGTTTTTTTTTTTTAGGTACACTAGTTTTGCTTTTTAGAATTAAACCAACCTATTCTTACACTAGTCACAGTAGTCAGTATAAAGGCTGCATGATGCTGGAAAAAAAAACTGACATTGCGATATTTTGTTTTTCAGACTATATATTGCGATATGAAACCGTTTCTCCAGATGAATAGCTCTATTTGGAAAGAATGATTGGAGAGATTTTGTAGTGGAGTGAATCTGCTTATAAAATAAGAAACACATTACAAGCATAGATAAATACAATAGTACAAAGGTACACATGAAATAAACAGTGCTTTAGCTTATGTTTTTCAGGCAAGTCTAACAGTATCCAGGTACAGAAATGGAATAATCAGGTGTAAAATAACACTGCATAGTCTTCCCTGTATAAATTAAATATCATTATTCTATGTTAAAGCTACAAAGTTATTGCAATATCAATGCTAAAATGATACATCATGAAGACCTAGTAAGTATAGTTGTCAGGTGGTGCTGTGTGTAAAATGAAAGCATAATAGCAGTGATCAACTGATTTCGAAGGTAAAGATTACTATGTAAATCTAATTCTCGGCAGAGAAATCAGAGATAAGTACTGTGTGTTAGTCTTTGAACTTCGACTACATTATGCATACATGCAATTGTAGAGCAAAGACTGTCAGAGCAGACCTCAAAAGGTGACCTTGTTCAGTGAGCCTTGACCATTGAAGGGTTGATTGCTAAACTGGATTACAAATTCTTAAGAATAGAGATTCACGATCACATTCAATAGGGGCCTAGTCAACCGGAACTTCCAGACAGTTTCTATAAAGTATCTGTACAATTAGAAATATACTTTTAATCACGTATATAACCCATACAGTTGATGTAAATGATAAAAAAGGTTTCAAAAATTGCCTCAAGCAATTGACTATGAGGCAACGTGCAAAAAAAAGTGCAATCAGCAATATTTTTTTGTTGTGCGGATTATATGGTAGTCATCTTGGACTTGAGCCCTGCAACGTTAGATTTTTACCGGTACCGTACGTGTGCGCTATTGTATGCATACAGTGCATGAGACACAAATTTAGTCATCAGCATAGTACTTGCGTCTTTTACATGTGCAGCCCGACTTTTCTAACCATGTACTCTGTGATCACAGTTCCCATGGACGTTGAGAGAGGTTCAGAGATACCGCAACTCTAGTTTAAGTTGTCTAGTATTGTATGTCTCATAACTTTCGAAGAGAAATAGCGCAGACACTGGACAAGGATGAAACTTACTAGCGCGCATATGTCCACCATCTGTGTTTACGCACACTATCAAATGGGAGTATACTTTTAAAAGGCTATGCGTTCTACACTGCCGTGAAAAAACAAACAAACAAAAAAACAAGTAATGTTTGGGCTTTATACTGACATCTACAGGCAGGATGCAAAATCACAGAGATTTTAGTTAATAAAAATGTGCTATTTGCAAAATCGACGAGTTCTCACTGCAGAACATGAAATCCATGGGGAGGAGTCGGATCCAGATCCAACTCCTCCCACCTTACATACACCTAAACCTACCCAACTCCGCCCCCTGATCCCTAAACCCAACCCTAATCCTACCCATCTCCACCCCTTGATCGTGATCCGACTCCTCCCCGTGGATCTCATGTACTGCATTGAGGAGCTACTGGAATCAACCCATATTAATTTATTCCAAGAATGTTCAATAACAACGATTTTACAGACTCGGCTGGTCACATTACGTGATCTCAACATGTCTGCCCCCAACTGGCTCCATAAATAACAAATCAGCTTTTATCAAGATTAAACGGAAGTTGCGATAGTCTTTTCTTCTCTATCGTGACGTATATCTAAATTAAATGGCTTCACGAACAAAAAAACATAAAAAATGTAGGACGCGACTTGATTTTTACCATCTGGAATTGATTGGATTGTTTGATCTGTGGTTTGCCCCTCCCTCGTGCCATTAAACACGTCATTAGATAGATGTAAGTGTAAGAGGGAGGGGGAGTTATTTGAGTAAAGTTAACGAGGGCACATGAATTTAAAAATAAAATAACGATGAGCATGGATAAATAATTTTTAATAAACAATATTGCAATATTTCCATAAAAATAGAAATGGTCCGTGTTGATTTCATGGTGACTTTAATCTCCAGTCAGAGGACATAATTTTAAACTGAGTTTAAACTTTCGCAATAATAAACAATTTATTTTAGTGTAAAACTTTTTAATGTGGGAAACGACAAACACACACACTGCTTCCAAGTCTGCTTCAAAGAGTGCCCACAGACTTTTAAAAGCCAAACAAAATCACTACGTTCTTGTACCAATTGAATTACGTCAGCGACGACGTGTAGCCTACAAGAATATAAGCAGATCAGTCGCTCCGGATAGTTTGTTTCCAGACTGAAATGCTGGACAGGTAATGCGACATGTCTCGACTCGAGTACTAGAGTCCGAGGTAAAAATCTCTCGCGCTGACACAATGCACAAGCCAGGGGACAACTCGATCAAGGTCAGCGTGCTGCAAAGTGTTACTGCGGACTTTCCCCCCCTTTTTATCGCAGTAAGAAGCGCATAATGCTCATTCATATGCAACGATAAAGCAACAGTCTGCGAATTCAAATGTTGAGCACTAAATCAAATCTGTCATTTGGTGACATGGTCTCGTGCTGTTAGTAGTCGTACAAACAGCAAACTATCAGAACACACTGACCTATTTACAGTGTAAAGTTTTTACAGCTGGAAATATCGGTAGCGACAGCAGACAGTTGCACGTGATGGTCTGTGTCACGACAGTATCACGATTATCTGACAGGTTCACAACAAGCGCATTAGCATTAAACGCACAAAATAAAGGATAACGTTACTGCGTTGCTGGGTGCCGGTTGGATGAATACTTACCAGTAATTCAGGGAACATTGCTGGTGCCTCGAAAACCACCAAGGAAACCAGTGAGCAAAACAGTAAATCCTACAAAGGACTATCACATAAATTACAACGCTATGTCTGGTCCTGCACGCGGATTTAAAGATCAGATACAGTCTACCTATTTGCTGAGGTGGGCTACCTTACTTAGCAATTCTGGTGCTGTACTACGTACGATACGGTAGGCTATATGTGACGTAGAATCAATGCAACTACTCGATAATTTGAATGAATGGCGGCGCGAGGGCAGTCAGTTGAGAGAGCGCGTATGTTTAATCCATGTTTGATTCGCTCTTCCCGGGACTAGTTCCTCATATTGCTGTTTCGGTTGTCACTGGAAGCCTGAATCCTGTCTTCCGCTAATACAGCTGAGATCCCGGTTACGTATATCCTCGTTGATTCTCCTCCCTCTCTGCTCTTGCGTCTGCTGTTTCTCCGTTACGTCCACTCCCGCTTCCAATCACGCGTCCTCGCGCCTCCGTCACAAGCGGCAGCAGCAGCGCTTTAACAATAAAAGGGAGGTTGACCTACTGTATGTCTGACTCACGAGTTTACACACTTTTGATCTAAAATCCGAAGCAATTATTCAGATTTCTTGCATCCCGGGCTATTTTGGTAACTGATTGAAGGGTAAATGAAACAAAGCTCGGTGCAAACAGAGTCCATTTATAACTGCCTGATTCGTGACTATTAATAATTTCGGCCTTCACGCAGGGTTCGTCGAAGCTGAGAATAAAACAAATCTAGACTCAAACAAGTTCGGCTGCTGATCTTAATTGTATTGTACTAATGCTTATCCATTTCGCTGTTTAATCATTTATGAAGAGACCCTAATCATGTGACACATATTTCAAGGATAATTGCGAATCTGCGATTTAATGTCAACCGAATAATACAACCTTTATAAACAGAACCTAGTCTTTCACGTGCACGCGCCGTGTCATTTTTAATGGAAAATCATAGTTAGGCCTGCCGCCTGATGATAAGTTGAACGAATTCTTGAACTTATAGCCCATGTGAATGAATTATATTTATGGGACATGTATTTTTTTTTTTACTGTAGCTAAATAGGCCCACAGAAAAATAAATAGGCGCACTATAATTTATGCTATCCCCTTGTTTCTTATTTTGTTACCTGTTATGTATACACATGCTGCTTTATGCCACATGTTTCAAGTGTTTTTGTGAATCAGTGTTCGTTTATCATTTTGTCCTACTACTTAGTGCTCAAGTTATATAGGCTATATATCATTTGATAATATTGGTTATATGCTAAAATATAGACTGTATGGACCAAATAAGTTCCGTTCAAAAAAAACCGAGTCCGTAGTAATGCGACAGAATGCGTTTGTCCCATTGAGTTCAAAAGGCAAAGCTGTAAATCAAACAACGCTCTAGATGGCATGGAAAATGTCAGTCCACTCGGTCTTGTGACACTGACCCAACTGCTCTAGGCCTCCCATAGTCAGCTGGTTCCTACTAGAGTTATGGGCTGCGAGCCAGCGGCGCAGAGTTCACAGTGACTGCGGAGAGAGGAAAGGAGAGAAAGAAGGAGAGACTACAATCCGCGCAACCTGATCACTGCACGCTGAGAGAAAGAGCGTCGTGCCCCAGCCGCGCAATGCTGTTGCAACGGAAAACAGTCTCGTCTCGTTTTAAGGAAATGATTAGGCTACAGTTGTCTAGGCTATTTTAGAAATGCACCTTACACAGCATGACTGAAACCTGTCCGTTTTGTATAATGATTTGAAATGAGACGGTATGCTTGTCTATTAAGAACAAAATAGGCTACATGCATGATGTGGCGTAGACTGTGTAGGCTATGGAAGCAACGGCGTGCTGCAGCATGAAAAACGATTAAAAAAAGCAAACAGGAAGCCCTAGTGTTCCTGATGTCATTGAGAACGTGCACGCGACCTTGAATTGAAGGTCATTCCCCGACGCAGCGCAGCATTTCAGCCGAGCTGCGCGCGCTGGCGCATTCTGTTCCTGTCTGTAGCTCTTCACACGGAGGAGCTTTACCACACGATTCCCCAGATGCCCTCGGTCCTGTCACCGTTTAGATGGTTTACAACTTTTACGGAGTGTCATGAGATCTGTTCCGACAGATTCTTTTGTGTAAATTTGGTTTATGGCTCTTCCACAAAAGGTCACACCTCGGTGTCCGGAATGCTGACAGAGGTCATGACCCCAGAAACAGGTGGGAGTAGCTACACACACAAGAGCCTCAAAAAGACAACAGCTGGGAGGTGAAGGCTATGCAGTAAGGGGACAGTCCCCGAATCATGTTAGAACCCAGTCTTTCACCGTACGCGTGCACTCAACCGAATAATACAACCTTTATAAACAGAGCCCAGTCTTTCACGTGCATGCGCCTTGTCATTTTTTAATGGAAAATCATAGTAAATGATTTATTGAACGAATTCTACACTAAACCGTGTGGTTAGCGGAAATTATAGCCTATGTGAGTGAATTATATTTATGGGACATGTAGGCTAGTAGCCTATTTTTTATTTTATTTTTTACTGTAAATAGGCACACAGAAAAATATATGCTATTACCTTATGTTTCTTATTTTGTTATCTGTTATGTATACACATGCTGCTTTAAGTCACATTTTATGTTTAGTATAATTTCAGTCCCCGAATCATGTTAAGCAGCGAATCATGTTTTTTTTTACAAACTCACAATGAAACTATCACAGAATCATGTGGATCAGCTAAAACAATGCACCGTCTTCACTCCCACTGATACTCACAACCGGTTATTTTAAACATGAGAGGAACTTTTGGTGAGGTATTTAATAAACGACTCTTTGTAGTTTAGGATATCATTCCTTATAGGCTCACTGTATGGTGGCTCTAATATAGGCCCATATATTCTGTTTTTGATTGCTTACCCATTTCCATTTAAATGCAACACAAAACATTCTTCATATTTATTTATTTTGTATAGATTAGAGTGCTTTATAATGAATGAACCCCTCAAAAGAGGCGAATGGTGTAATTGCATCACAGTGTAAGCAGGCAGACGCAGCGCAGCACCATCTAGCGGTGATGTGATTATTCAGCGGATAAGTGGATTGTGCCAGTCTGCCGACTAGTGACGTCTATGTACAGAGTGTCCTCGCGCACAAGGTCATATGTTTCCGTGCACGAAAGTTGAGACATCCGAGCATGTGGCCCAGTTTAAGCTCCTGTAGTGTAGCAACAAAAGCGATAACAGTGCTCAGGGGTTCCAAAATAATCAGTGACAAATAAAAATGCAAAGAATAACGCAATAAGGAGTGACAAAACGCGTGGCCTTTTTATTTATGTAGGCTTATCTCATTTTGGCCACTAGTAGCCTACTCAAGGTTGTCAAAATCTTTTGGTAATGTTCACTGTGTAATGTAAGGTGATTGAATTATTTAGGATGTCAGATAGCAATATCATTTATGTTTATGTTTTGGGACTTTTAGCTGGTAAGAGGAAAAAGATTATCAGCCCTGTTTCTGTTCTGCTGTTGACAACACAAACAAAGCAAATACTGAATTTCACATGAACCCTGTGTATGTGACTTCTCCATACTCATCATTTTTTAAATCCATGTTCCCTTGTAATATTTAATCAAAATATATTCTCCCTCTCTCTTGCAGCGACATCTCTTCTCTAATGATGTGTTTATTGGTGTGAGGGGGCGGCGCAACCTTCTCAATGGACAAAATCAAGTCCCGCCTTACATTTTTTTCCTTTTTGTCATATACATCACAATAAGGATGCAAAGACTATCATAAATGACTTTGACTTTAAATGACAGACTTGGACATTTCCTACATGTGTCTGTCCAATTCTGAGGGTTCAGGAGAGGGACTGATGGTTTCTACAGTTCAGTGAAGCTCTGTCTACAAAAGAAAAAATGCATAGAGTTAATAAAAAAATCAGAATTACAATTAAAAACACATGTGATTACAGTAAACGGGGATCCTGTCCGAATTAACCGAAAAGATCTGAGTGTAATTTGCTGTGAAGTCTTATTTCAGCACTTCACAGGGTTTTAAGGTAAGCTTTCAGCACAGGATTATGGCAACCTCACCCACTGAGTCGGATTACATTTGTTTCCTTTACAGTTGCTGTTAATCATAATGCAAGTTTTTTTTGTTTGCTTGTTTTTAAATTACAGGGTAATTTTATGTTCTGACCGTATATGATGTTAGGCCTATTCATGTACAAAAGAGGTGTGTATTCGCATTTTAGAGTCCTTAATGTTAGCGATAATAATACATAAGCAAAATGTGATGACTTGAATATATTTTAAATTTTAATTAATTCCTATGCTGGCAACGCTGAATTTTCAGCATCTTTACTCCTAGTCTTCAGTGTCACACGATCCTTCAGAAATCATTCTAATGCTAATTTGCTGCTTTGAATAACTATCTATATTGTAGTGTACTTTTAATTTAATACAGCAACATGACCGTCTGAAATACGTTGTTATCATCAAGAATGCAAGATTGCAGAGGCCTAAAGTTGCTATTTTAGTCTAAATCTGAAACAAACATAATCTTATTTGTAATGGGTGAGGCTGATGAAAAGCTTTCAGATCTTTTTAAGTGATCTGTGTTGATTTTAACCTTAACCCCAATGCTGGACACTCCCAGATGTCTTCTATAAATATATCCCTCACAGTTCCTCTCTGTTAGAAATCAGTTTTTTCAGACACATTGAGGGAAAATGGACTGTATATTGCTTTTCTGCATCTCAGCTGTGCTGCTAAATCTCTCTCAAGCTTTTCCTGCTACGGTACGAGCTGCACCTTTCAGTGATGAGCATCTTTAAAATGTACTCACTCACTCACTCTGTATCTGCTCTTTCCACAGATGCTGCCCACTGGTCAAGGTGACTTTCTATTTGACCCTCCTGCGTTCTTGTGACCTACAGAACTGCACATTTTGTTTGTCTCTCTTATCAGACACATTCAGATAAGAGAGATTTATGCAACTCTCTGTTAATGAGCTGATGATCTGAATCAGTAGTGTTAAATAATGCCAAATACAACATATGGATCCCAAATACCAAGGACCACTGATTTAGATCAATAAATTACAAAAATATTCAGATGTATGGTTTAATTTTGCCATTCTTTGTTCAGACATCCAGTCTGAGAAGCACAACGACATGGATATTTCCTCAAGAATTCTGGAAGCAAACAAAGGTGATTGTTTACTTGTCTTTATCATGATATGTGTCAATACAGTTATTCAAAACTCACTTGGCTTTGCATAATTGGATGATTTTCCTGGTTAAATCAATGAATCATTTTCATTATATAATACATTTTGACTATATGTGAATATTAATTATAATGTTCACTATAAGCTACATATTTTCCTATTTAAATTTTACTGTTAAAATTCATGTGTCTTTTAAAATATAATAAATCACTCAATTACATCATTACGTTATGTTCTGTGTAAGTGAAATGATCTGACTCTTATTGTTTTGTTTTGATTCAGAGATCAGTGACATGCTTCTGGAGGGAGATATGGCCTTACCCAAAACAAGGAATGCCATGAAATGCTTGAAGGACTACTGCAAATGGCCAAAATCCCCATCTAAAATGGTTGAAGTGCCATACACCATTGCTAATGACTACTGTGAGTGATTAGAAAAAAATCCACTTGTATGTTGATCGGCATCAAAATCCAGTGACGTGTATACACATATACAATTTATGATAGATAACGATGAGAGGGCACTGATCGAAAACGCAATGAAGAGCATCGCTGCAAAAACCTGCGTCCGTTTTGTGCCACGAACCAATCAAGTGGACTACCTCAGCATTGAAAACCTACTAGGGTGAGCTTGACCACGCCTAAATAATGAATAGACTTTAGAAAAAGTCTGGGGTCAGTTTTATTTAGCAAGAATGAATTGATCAAAAGCAACAGTAAAGACATTTATAATGTTAAAAAAAGTTTCTATTTCAAAATGCAGTTCTTGTGAACTTTTTATTCATTTACATTTACATTTATCTGACGCTTTTATCCAAAGCGACTTACAATTGCTATACATGTCAGAGGTCACACGCCTCTGGAGCAACTAGGGGTTAAGTGTCTTGCTCAGGGACACATTGGCGTCTCAGAGTGGATTCGAACCCGGGTCTCTCACACCAAAGGCATGTGTCCACCATTTTTGGTTTGAAAACAAAACTGTTTTCAAAATTGATAATTCTAAGAAATGTTTCTTGAGCAGCAAATTAGCATATTGATTTCTGAAAAATCACGGTATTTCAGCTTTGCCATCGCAGGAATGAATAACTTTTTAATATATAGCCAAATTATTTTAATTTGTGATGATATTTCAAATGTTATTGTGTGTTTGGTAAAATAATAGGAGCCTTGGTGACCAGAGACTTCTTTCAAAAACATAACAAAATCTTACTGACCCCAAACTTTTTGAAGAGTTTAACCTGTTACGCTGTGATACAGTGCAGTCTCACCCCAAAAAGTCATTTAACTGACGTTTTGGGGCGTCTTTTGACCATACGTCAATATTCGCATTTTTAGGGCCCCCTTAAACGTCGGTAGATGAGGTTATGGGATCCAAACTCTACCCCAGACCTAAACCTAACCCTAAACCTAACTGACGTAAAAGGTAAAGCGTCAGTTGTACGACGGCCCGGGATCGCCATCTACCGATGTTTAAGGGGGTCCTAAAAAGGCGAATATTGACGTATGGTCAAAAGACGTCCCAAAACGTCAGTTATATGACTTTTTGGGATGAGAATGTGTTGTGTGATAATGTTAGTGTTTTAACTGTATTCCTTTGTTTCCAGCTGTTGGTCTACTGTAGGGAGATCTGGAGGGAAACAGCAGGTGTCTCTGTCGGTGGACGGCTGTGTCTCTCACGGGCTCATTGAGCACGAGCTCATCCATTCTCTGGGGTTCCACCACGAGCACACCAGGAGCGACAGAGACCAGTACGTCCGGATCAACTGGGAGAATATTCCAAAAGGTTAGTACGAATGTGGACAAATCTCAAATACTATAGAGTAAAAACAATCTTTTTATTATAGCGTAATGAAAACCTCAGTAACAATGAACACTCGCTTGCCCTTTGCACAGCATCTGCATACAACTTTGAGAAAAAGGACACAAATAATCTGAACACCCCTTATGACTACAACTCAATCATGCATTATGGAAGGTTAAAACTTCACCCATATTACTTTTGAAATCATGCTTCAGGACAGATATATAAAGTATCTGGGATCATTCTCGTGGGAATTCACTCTCGCCCTCCATTTGCAGGACAGCCTTCGCCATACAGTATGGGAAGGAAACCATCACTCCTATTCCTGACTCTTCAGTGCAGATCGGACAGAGGCTGGAAATATCTAACATTGACATTCAGAAGATCAACAAGCTCTATGAGTGTGGTGAGTACATTACACACATGTATTGTACAGTAGTCTCATTTAGTGTTTTAGACTGTACAAAGTGACTATGATGCAGATGTACATTTACATTTTTTTACCTGCAGCTCTTTAAAGCAAAGACTCAAGATCAAACCCCAGTGAAATGCTGACAGTGACTAAATAAAAGGAGTACGGCACATCTTTTCCTTCCTCTTTTGTCTGTAACTTGACCCTATAAATGTAATGGGCTGACTTTGGTGTTGAATTGCAATAAACCGTGTTACGAGTGACTCCTGATGTGGTTTCGTGTTAGTTCCTAGCAGGGTTGAACTCCTCGAGATATTTAACAAGTTAAGGGAAAATGTGCGCACACACCACACTCATGAGTAGTCTCTATGAAAGCCTGTTTCTGCCTCACAGTAAAAAAAGACACAATTAAAAGAAGTTAACTTCCAAATGTGAGATGTAAGGTTGCATTATGAGAAATAAATGTGCAACTACAAGAGAAAGTAGCAAATGTGAGATTTAAAGTCACAATAAAGGGACAATTGTGTTTGCTATTATGGGAAATTAAGTTGCTATTATGAAAATTAAAGTTGCAATTACAAGACAAAGTATCAACTACGAGGATAAAAGTAACAATTATGAGAAATAAGGTTGAAGTTATTGTAAATTGTCACATTGTGAGATATAAAGTGCCGATTGGCAATTAAGTTGAAATTATGAGAAATAAAGTTGCAATTAAGACAAAGTATGAATTGTGGGATTTAGTCAATTACGACATATATGAAAATGTGAGGTATGAAATTGCAATTAAGGGAAATAAAATAATTTTAAAAAAGTCACATTGTCAGATATAAAGTCGCAGGTCTGAGAAATAAAGCTGCAATTGTGAAAATATAATAGTCACATTGTGAAATATAAAGTGCTGTGTGTAATATACAAATATTTGAGGAAAAAGGTCACAATTATGAGAAATAAAGTCTTTTACTTGAGACCGAAACAGGCTACCGTAGCTTAATGTTATTTACCAGTGATAGAACAAGATTACAGTTGGATGAACTCGAGCTGTAAGCCTCAGCTGAGTTAAATTAGTAACGTTAGTGTCAAGCGGTCATTCCTTTATTATAAAGACATTAAGAAAGGAGCGAAAGGCACACAGAATAAAACATTCACTGACAGTCAGCGCATCCATAAACAAACGAGTCAGTCATGTCCAGTAGATGGCGCTATGAGTCTGATGACGATGGCCTTCCTGCACAGAATGACTAATGCTATCAGGCGTCTATCAGGTTACCAATAAAAGCTCTTACTCATGCTGCCAAGACGTGACGAGACCGGATTCTTATTCCCCTCTTCTCATTTTAGGCACGTGGACAGTTTCTTTTTTTTTGTCCCAGTAAAATCTGAGAATAACGCCAGGTGCCTTCAAAGTGGAACACAGCATATCCTAAAGCTAGCAGTTGCAAAACTTTATTCCAAAGAGCTTTTTTGAGGAACTACAAACCCCATAAACACATGGACACTCACAGCTTTGGTGTAGGAGGGTCTTTCTGCTCAATGTCTCCGTTTGGCGCTTTATTTTCTGGTTCATTTGGATTGGTTTGAGGGGTCTTGGGTTTCTGTTGATCCCTTCTCAAGTGTCTCCTCTGACGTCTCCTTTTGGGCCTGTCATTTGAAGCTGGGTTCGTTTCTGGTACATCCAGCAGGGGGTCGAGGTGGATCTTCCCACTCACTGCATCTGAGGACTCGTCAATGTACGCAAGATTTTCCCCAAAGTAATCCAATGGCTGGGAGAGGACGGGATCTTTGGGTATGGTGTGGAGCTTTTCCTCTTTCTCTAAATCTTTTTCACCACCGCCACTGCCGACCTCTCCCACTGGGATCCGTTCTGTCTGGGTCACCTCCGACTTTGACTGAGAGCTGCCTTCCGACTCATCCGATGAACCCGAGTAGGAGCCAGATTCAGATTCAGATTCAGATTCAGATTCGTTCTCCTCTCTCCCGTCCTCTCCGACTTCACCCTGACTGCCGCTGCGTTTGTGGCGCCTGTGACGCCGCTTTCGCCTGCTGCGCTTGAAAGGATCTTCGAGTTTTCCGGACATACGGAAATCCACAGACATGTTCTGGATGTTCTGAGTCCAGTCTGTGGCGTGTGCTCGCATCTGCTCCATCTGAGAGCAGAAAGTAGGGCAGGAGAAATGGAAAGGCTTGAGAGTTATGGAGAGATTTGTATGTCACCAGGAGCAGAATGATTGAAATTTGATTCAGATTTTAGGTTAATAGGAGTTGTGGAGATGAATTACGCGTGTGAGGGGAAATGGAAGGGAGGTTATCATGAAGATAGAAGGGATGGGAATTGAGAGAGAAATTAATAATCCCATTTGAGTTGCAGTGTTGAGTTTGACCAGGGAGTGTGACCAGGCACTACTCTAAACTGCACAAGGCATTTGGTTATAAAAAAATGTATTTGACATCATGATTTAATCATAGGTTTACCTCAGCGCGGGTCTTTTTGGTAAGAACCAGAATCCAGTTCCCGATCATGGAAAGAATGGACACAAAGTAGGCCAATCCAAACAAAACCCAGAACCACACCAGAGGCTTGTACCAATGATGTTCACCTGCTTCGCCATCACCTGATGGACAAAAAATTACAAAATACATAAAGATCAAGTCATTTATTCAAATTAAAGAGATTGTTCGGCCAAAAAAATAAATTTCTATAATCATGTAATCACCTTCATGCAGTTCCAAACCTGTTTGACTTTAGTTCCTCTGTGGAACACAAAAGAAAATATTTTTTATCCATGTTATGAAAATCAATGGGACCCATAATTTTCAAGTTCCAAGATGGACATAAAGGTAGTGTTTTCTTTCAATCTGAAATGAAATCAAAACTGATTAATTCAAACACATACAAAAATGACGAGGTGTGGTCAAGTGACCAAAACGTGTTGACAGTAGGTGAAGTTTGAGGGTTTGCGTCTTCATATTTTATGTAGTCTGTGATTTGATTTGATATTGAATAAAAGGATATTCTGATCTGTTTATCAATATCTTATGGCTTTGAATGGAATGTACCAGTCAAATTGTATGGATTCATTTAACACTATCCTTTGTGTCCTTTTTTGGATCTTGAATGTTTTGGGTCATATTGACTTTTTATACTGAAGTGAAGCTGAAATATTCTTTGAAATACCTTATTTTGTGTTTTGTATTAGAAAGTCATGCAGGTTTGGAATGCCATAAGGTTGAGTATATATGATAACCAAATTTTCATTTTGGATGAAATATCCTTTTGTTTCTTTTTAAATAAAGGTAAGATGTATCTTTGTGGTTCAGTCCAGCCACACAGAAAACCAAATCAAACTGTCCTGTTATAAATGTGGTCAGTGGTAAATTTGAACCAGTAATATAAAAAGATCAACCCATTAAAGCCCATCACAAGATGACTGCAGTGGTTTGTGTTTTAATGTCACGTTTCTTGGGAAAATGAGGTTTTCACTGAAGGTTAACATCTTGAGCAAGAATTCAAGAGACAAATTAAAATCTCAAAATGAAATGCAAACTACTTCTTAAACTGTTGCAAAGCATCAAGTGAGGAAACATTACATGGGAAACAAGTGAGGAAACATTTCAGGATTTCATCCAGTGGTACCTGCAACATAGTCTCCAAAGCCCACAGTTGTGAGGGTGATGACCACAAAGTAGGCTGATTCTAGCAGACTCCAATTTTCAACCTTCTGGAAGACTAAAATTGGCACAAAGATGAAGAGAACACAGCCCAGCAGGATGGAGAGCACAGCGGTGATGACGCGCACAATGGTTGGGCTCACCTTCCACTTCTGAATGGAGAAGATAAGGAAGACTGAAGAAAAAATTCCTAATAAGCTTGAAATGAGCTATTGCGACAAAGAGCCAGGAATGTGTATGGAAGCCTATATATAGTGTATATATATATATGTATGTATTAGGGCTGTCAAATGATTAATCGCGATTAATCGCATCCAAAATAAAAGTTTGTGTTTACATAATATATGTGGGTGCACTGTGTATTATTATTAATTATTTTGTATATATATAAATACACACACATGCATGTATATTTAAGAAAAAAAATATTATTTATATATAAAATATTTATATTTATATATAATATAAATTATATATAAATCTATATACAGTATACACATGAAAATATTTCTTAAATATATACAAGCATGTGTGTGTATTTATATATACAAAATAATTATACACAGTGCACCCACATATATTATGTAAACACAAACTTTTATTTTGGATGCGATAAAAGATAATTTCTTAAATAATAATAATTTGGGGGAAAATACTTTATATCTGATCTTTTGTTTATAAGAAACTTTAACTTTATCTCAGAATTACCCGTTTCATTTTTTACTCTGAACTGGAAATGGACATCTAATTGCTAGTAGATGCTTTTAAACCAAATCAATTATTTGTCTCCTTGCTATGTCTGCCAGGTCATTCAGTGAACTCTTTCTCTTTAAATGTTAAGTTGTCCTGTGAGGTTATGTTTGTATTCATCATCATTTACCCATAAAAGAGCTTCAACTTTAGCAATGGCGTTCCTCAGTGATGTCCCCAGATGGTCTCCAGCGGCACCCAACAGAAACCCAAACAAGGGAATGCCCACCAGTGTATACCAGATACAGAAGAACTGACCCCACGTTGTCTTTGGAGAGATGTTCCCATAACCTGGACCACAGACAAACACTTGCTGTGATCTGAGGGCAGATATATTTAGACATTTCACAGTGCCAATGATCCCCAGAATGCAGAGGCCAGGCCAGGTTCTGGCTTCAACATGCAGGTGTGTCCGGCCAGTGATGTGGCAATCCCATACCGATGGTGGTGACTATGGTGCCACAGAAGAAAAAAGCGCTGGCCAGGTCCCAACTGGTGCTGAACGTGGCATTGGTGGAATTGTTGGGATCAATTCCAACACTGATAGCCTTTGCCACCGTCTATATAGAAACAATGAAGAGTAGAGAAAAGAGATTAGACATTAAAGTTGGATAATGCACTATTTTTTTAACTTAATGATACACAATACAAGCCAGTGCTTATGACAGTTTTCTTAAAGTTAATACTTACTTCTAGGGCTGTTCGATAACAATATAATTAAAATAATCAACAATTTCATTATCAAATAAACAGGTCTGTGTGTTGTGCACGGAGAACTCTGCCAGTGATGTCATTTTACAGTAATGAAACTGTGTGGAAATTTCTGCTCTGGGAAACGTGCAAGACCCCAAGTTGTCAAAAGCAAGTTGAAATGAAACTACTGTATATATGAAACCCTTCAAAGAGGCTCGTTGCATGTCACCCTCTCAGGTTTGTGTGTTTTGTGCTTGAGCGCTTAATTTACACATAATATATTTATATGTAAATTCATGCAAGCTTTGGCTATAATGCTTGTCCTGACAATCTCTGTTAAATTTACGTAATAACACAAGACTAACAGACAAAGTGAAATGACGTTGGTAACACTTTACAATAAGGTTCGTTAGTTAACATTAGTTAACTACATTAGTTAATATGAACTAATAATGAATAGCACATATACAGCATTTGTTAATCTTTGTTAGTGTTATTTTCAACATTTACTAATACTTGATTCAAATCTTGTTAACATTAGTTAATGCACTGTGAACTAACATGAACAAACAATGAACAGCTGTATTTTCATGAACTAACATTAACACAGATGAACAAATGCCGTAACAAATGTATTGCTCATGGTTAGTGCATGTTAGTAAGTACATTAACTAATGTTAACTAATGAACCTTATTGTAAAGTGTTACCATGACGTTGACAATAATAACATTAGTTATTTATTTTTGGTTGGGTGTTAAATTAAGGTTTTAAATTGACAATATGATTGCCAATACATAACAGTGATTTAAACTTCTGTGAACATACAGTTGTTTATTATTTATAATGTAATGTATATACTTTACAGCTTTTTTGTGCATATAATGTACAGCATATATCTGAATTACATATACAATTCTCACTATTATATGACTTTTGCCTCAATAAACTCCTAATTGCTGCATATTAATAGTTAGTAAGGTAGTTGTTAAGTTTAGGTATTGGATTAAAGGATTGGTATTGGATGCAGGATTTAGAGGAGAGCATTGGATAGACAACAGGTTTTTAGGCAACAATACCTACAGCTATCAGATTCTCTAGACGGTCAGGATCTACACATGTGTAGTTGCCCAGGAACTCTTGACGGGTGGTTTGCAGCTGGTCGTGGTGACTTTCCTCGTTTGGGGCCTCCAGGGCATTGAACACCAAAGCCCCCATCACTAAGTACAGGAGCACCCCAGTGAGGACAAATAAAAGCGTGGTGATATGCATAGCTGAACGTCTACGAGAGTCTTGTGCTTTCCACTTCTTGTGCTTGTCCCCCTATGGATGAGACTGCAGTGCAAAACCAGCCGAGTCCATTAAAGAAAGTTGCAATCATTTCACAGCGAAAGCTTTAGCATGACCACAAAACAACTTTACAGAGGATTTTTGGTCTAACCCATTAAATCTGCAGTATGGGTGTTCAAAAAACGTTCAACCACAAACCTGTCCTTTTCCTTCTCTCTGTGCCGGCTTGTCCAGCTCCGTCTGTGGCAATTGCTAAGTCTGGATCCACACGGAAACCCCACGACCTTGTGATCTGATTAAAGGGACACTGAGGGCAAAAGTGTTCAAGAATTCAGAAATACAACTGAAAATCAGTAATATAGGTTAAATATGCAATACTGTTCAATATTGTGTTGGTAAGACTTTTAATGTTTCTGAAAGAAGTGTCTGCACACCAAGACTGCAATTATCTGTTAAAAATACAGTAAAAACAGTTATATTGTGCATTTAATTACAATTGAAAATGTCTTTTTTTTTTCATTTTTTAAACATACTTTGAAATGTAATTTATTCCTATGATGGCAAAGCTGAATTTTCAGCATCATTACTTCAGCCAAATAATTATAATATGCAGATCTGGTGCTAATTAAATAAATATTTATTATTATTATCAATGTTGAAAAAGCTGTCCTGTTTAATATTTTTGTAGAAACCGTGATACATTTTTTCAGGATTCTTATATAGATAGTCAAAAGAACAGCATTTATTTGAAACAGAAATATTTTTTTAACTTTATACATATATTTACTGTCACTTTGATCAATTGAATTCATCCTTTCTGAATGAATGTATAATTTTTTTTTAAACCGCTTAGTGCAAACTTTTAAATGGCAGTGTAGATATTGTTTATGTTTTTATAAATATATATTATAAACCATACATGATTTGTAGAAGTCTTTTTTAGGTCCCTTTGCTGATTTAAAGGAAATGACATTGATGGCACGCCATCAAGGCAAAACACAAAGCCCAGGTGCAATGCGAAGCTGCTCTGCATGCCTGCCTAACTTTAACCAAATATATTTTTGGGTATTGGTGGACAGTTATATTGACAGGAATCACACATGAGGTCCAGGTGGCTCCCACATGCATCATGTCACAGAGATTGCACCTTCACAGTCAACAAAACTCACAAAACAAAACACTTATCTCTTCTGTGATACTTAAATGAACAACATCAGTCCATTAACCAGCTGTTAGGCCAACCAAACCTGATAAACAGGACAGAGAGGTGAATTTGGGACACAAGGAGAATGATTTACTCTCAGATGATTCTTGTCAATACTGAATATGAGCTCAACTACTGAATCAAATTACAGAAAGTGATGGTAAGAAGCACTTTAGAGTCTGATAACATGTAAGTTGGATAAATGATTATTTGAAGGAAAATTATGATGGATAAGAATTCATATATATATGAAGGGCTTTCAACTTTGATGTCAACTTTATATTTTGAGTCCGTACAACTCCTTTGTTATATTAACTCAAATTTCTAATTTCAATAAACTCAAAATTTTTAAAGCAACCAAGTTAGGCTACTTACTTTCTTAAGTTAAATCAACAATATTTTTTATACAATCATATATATATATATATATAAAATGTATACGTTTATAAAATGTAAAAACACTTACTATACCCTATCTAACATGAACGAAATCAAGCTTTCAGTTCATTAAAAATTCACTATTTAGTAAGTAATTTCATTGTTGATTATACAGCGATTGGAGAAATATGGTCTCCCATATTTATATCACTTGTTGTGCGACCAATTATTTATAGTTCTAATATTTTTATTTTATAGCATCAAGAGATATTTGTAATGGTATACGCTGTGAGTTATATTGAGGACAGTGTAGCCTATTTATGTTTATGAGTGTACGGCTAACTCATCATGTGCGTGCAAATGTATGTGTGCGTGTGAGAAGCTTCAAATGTCAGGAGACCGAAATGTCTGTGGCAGTTATTGGGTTTAGAGTTTGATTCGGAGCGCTGGAGGATCTGCTGACTGCGTAGTTGCAAGCTCACAATAAAAAACTGCTCTGGCAAACCAGCAAATATGCTACAGACATTCTGCCAATAAGATCTACTAATTAATCAAGCCAAAGGCAATCTCCCCAAAATATAATTACCACCCATGCAAGTCGACTCTACAGACTGAATGTAAATGTCCAAGCACAATATTGTGTAAATTCACAACTTCGCATAAATGCTATATTTTAGTTGTTGGTAAAAGCATGCATAATTTTGAAATCATGTTCGTGACAGCATGAATATATTATTTAACATCTTTATAATTAGGCAGTCCTTTTGGTTTGACTTAGTACACTAAACTTCAATTTCCATGCACAATAATTCAAAATGTACGCAAAACATTGCATTAGTAAATCAATACTCCCAAACAGACATCACATAACCCACCAGGATGGAGTAACTCATCTCCCACCTCAGAGCAGACGGTCCGGCATGTCCAGAGAACTGCAGCCGCAAACTGCAGGATTGTCCACAGGGTGTGTAAGTGAATGTGTGTGTGTGATGGAGAGAGGCTGTTGCTGAGTGCCAAAGAATGAAAAGGCACTCAATGAGCTGAGAGAGTGAGTGAGTGTACGCGAGACTGTCAGCATGTTTGTGGGGGTGTTTGTGTGTGTAGGCCTATGTGGGAGAGGGTGGGATCAGCGGAGAAGGGAAAGGATGAAGAAAGAGAGAGAGGAAATAAAGAAAGAAAAAGGGAAAGGGTGGGGTCGATGCAGAGATTTTGAGCTTGATCAGCTAATTGGTCTTTCCCTTTGGATTATTTGTTTCCTGGCCAGTTTAATGGATGGGTTTCCGTTCAGAAGGAACTTGGAAATGCCATTATGGGGACAAAATGTGTGCATAAACTCAAAAACAAAACAAAAAATGAATAAACATCTAAATGGATGATCCTTCTGGATGATTATTTGGCACTTTACGGTGGGGTTTTATAGATCAGCATTAACTAATAGCCTATACTTGTTTAATCATATTCACATTTACATTAACCTACACTGTAAAAAATTTACTGTAAAATTTACAGTAACTTACTGGCAACGATTAGCCAGTAAGTTACTGTGAATTCTCTTTACAGTAAGGGTACTGTACTTCCATTTACAGTATTTTATGTTTATACTGTGAATTCAAAAACAATTAAATACTGTGATTTTAGTTGTATTTACAGTAACTTACTGGCTAATCGTTGCCAGTAAGTTACTGTGAATACGTTTTACAGTAAGGGTAGTGTACTTTTCACAGTATTTTATGTAAACACTGTGAAATCAAAAACATTGAAATATTTTGATTTTAGTTGTATTTACACCATTGATTGTTTTACTGTAGAAGAAAATTTCAATTTAATTTACATACAAAAAACATTAAGCACTGTTTTTTATGTATTGTATGCAACACAGTACTATAAACAGTAGATAACGGTTAAGCACTGTAAATTCAGTTTCTCACTGTACAATTTAAATACTATATCACTATCATTTAATATTAGCCATCATTAAAAGAAACACCCATTTTTCTAAAACATTGCAATCAACTGCAGACAATAAGAAAATTGTTAACAGTTATTTATTTAAAAAGATTTGGTGAACAGAAATGACAAAACAGGTACAACAAAGGGATAATGGACATTGGACAACATGCCATTATACCATCCAAAGTTAATGCACGTTCTATGCAAGTAATGTGGCCACAACACCCAGCGGAGTGTTAACTTTAGATAGTCTAATGGCGTGAAGTCTATTATCATGCTTATTCTACTGTTGCTATATTCAAAGGAACACTCCGACTTTTTGGGACTTTAGCTTTTTCACCGTATCCCCCAGAGTTAGATAAATCCTTACATACCTTTTTCATCTCCATGCGTGCTGTAACTCTGTCTGACACACCCACCGCTAGCCTATAGCTTAGCACAAAGACTGGATGTAAATGGCTCCAGCTAGCATACTAATCCCAATAAGTAACAAAATAACGCAAACATTTTCCTATTTATGTTGTGATTTGTATAAATCAGAGTGTACAAATAACAAGGTCATATGAGACACAGCCATCATTTAACCGCATATTGGGAACTATAGTCTCAGAAGGCGAACCACTGCTAGTGATAACCGCAGCACCTGAGACGCGCCGTGGAGAGGAGCAGAGAGTTCGTTCAGAGTTGGATTAATAGAGTCAGCAATTACTAGATAGCGAAAGCATAGTTTACAATCATGGGTGTTCGCTGTATTTTAAAAGAGCTGCGACAATAAATGGGAGACCAGGTAATGCCATGATGTTTCATAGAATTCCAAACAAAAATGCTGACCTGTGATATTTATTAGTCAGGATGCATTTTTGTTCGGAATTCTTTGAAACATCATGGCATTACCTGGTCTCCCATTTATTGTCGCAGCTCTTTACAATACAGCGAACACCCATGATTGTAAACTATGCTTTCACTATCTAGTAATTGCTGACTATTATTCCAACTCTGAACGAACTCTCTGCTCCTCTCCATAACGCGTCTCGGGTGCTGCGGTTATCACTCCGCCCAAGTAGCAGTGCTTCGCCTTCTGAGAATATAGTTCCCAATATTTATACGGTAAAGATGGCTGTGTCACATATGACCTTGTTTTTTGTACACTCTGTGACTATACAAATCACAACATGTAAATAGGAAAATGTTTGCGTTATTTTGTCACTTATTGGGATTAGTATGCTAGTTGGAGCCATTTAGACCCAGTCTTTGTGCTAAGCTAGGCTAGCGGTGGGTGTGTCAGACAGAGTTACAGCATGCACGAGATATATCTAACTCTGGGGGATACAGTGAATATGCTAAAGTCCCAACAAGTTGTCGTGTTCCTTTAATTTACGACTGAAGAAAATTTTACAAAACGTTTTTTTAAAGTTACAGAGCAAATTGTTATTAGTTCATTCAATAGTTCTGTATGACAGGTTGCTATGACGGAACAATAGGCTAATACAAATTGATACAACGAGCCTATTTCATTACAAGATTTGTAAAGTTACAGAGCAAACTGTTACTAGTTCATTCACTAGTTCCGTATGACTAGTTGCTATAATGGAACAATAATGTAAATTGATACAATACAGTCAAAAAATTTAACTACTTTGAAGTTGTGCAAATAACTGATTACCCCATTCTAAAGAGCAATAAATAACATTATGGCAATATTGAAATAAAATAAAACATTGAACATTAAAAAAATATATATTTAACATTTGCATGAACATTTAAAACAGAAAGGAAAATAAACTTCCCCTGCCACTTGGCAAAGGTCTATGGCCTCTTGCATGCCTTGACCTTGGAGACAGAGAATCCTATTTGGAGCCCTGAAATTAAAGAAGAAAACACATTAAATCGACTGAATGGTTTCGAAAACGGTAAAACTCAACTGTTTAACTCTGGGAGAGTTGTAGAGCCAATAAAAAACAAAAGTGGAGTGTTCCAAATACAACTTATTTAAATAATTTAGGCTACTAGTAAATGGTGAAATTAACATTTAGAAAGTTTAATAAAGGCTGTAGAAGTGCAGTTTATTAATAGTTAATGTTAACTAATGTAGTTAACTAGAGTTTAATAAATGTAACCATATTGTAAAGTGTTACCAATTTGTTATACACCGATTCAGACGTCTCGTGACAGATCAGTTATTTTAACTAGAGCCCGACTGATAAAGGATTTTGAAGGCCGATACCGATACAAATATTTGTTGGTTTTAAAATCCGATATTCCTATATATCGGCCGATATATATATATATATATATATATTTTTTATTTTTTTAAGAAACACGCAAAAAAAAACATAACAGATTACCCTAACATTAGTTATTTGTAGTTATTTATGAGTTTTAACTAGTATAGATGGTATAGCATGGTAAACGTGCGTGCCAGTGATGCAGAATTGACCACGCATGGTCAAGATCAACCTCTTGAAAGCAGATGGACTCTGACACAGTGGGCATCGCAATTCAACAGCCATACTGACACCTGTTAGCATTTCAAACCCGCTCTTCGCCCCAAACCACCACCGGTGGTGGTTACATAGCAACGTAACTTACATGGTGTTGCTCTACATAGCAACGTAACTTACATGGTGTTGACGAGACGGGAATATGATGGCAGACATCGTGAACAATGTTTGAACACATGAACACAGTGCAGATTGTCAACATAACATTAGACATTGTCTTTTTGTCTAATAACTGTACCTAACATTAGTCGTCCACGGTCAAAACACTGTGGTGTAAACAGTTTGATGTTGGGATATTCACTGCCCAAAGCCTATTAACTAAAGCCAACCAACCCCGTTACGTCACATGTTAGAATACTGCGCAATGGCGCCACCCTGGCGGCGAAAGATATTAAGTTTTTACTTTTTTTCTTTTATATGTTTACATTTGTCATGTGTCTTATATAATTGTTGATTATAGTGGAAATCCATCTAGTAAATCTTGTAAACTTGATTGACTGCTTAATTTTCCCTTTAAAGGATTAGTTCTTAAAGGAGAACTCCAGTGCAAAATTAACCTTTGGTCTAATAACATATTGGTACCTAGTCGACCATTCTCTGAGATTTGTTTTTATGATAATCGAATGTAAAGAGTTTTATCTCTAAAAACTGTTTAGTGTATAACGCTAGTATATGGGGGCATTGACTAAGTAAAAAGAAATCGCTAGTTAATACCACTAACAAGGCTCAAAATAGCCCCACACTAACATAATGAGGGTCCCTACATCCAAAACGAAGCATTGAGAACTTTGTAAGTGTACAGACAGTATAAGAAGATATTTTATCAAGACAGTCCACTTCGCGTATACAGGCAGGAGCCATCTTGGGAAAACAGTCTCGACAAGTCGAACCACGAATGCCGTTTGGTGTTAGTGTGGGGCTATTTTGAGCCTTGTTAGTGGTATTAACTAGCGATAGATCTTACTTATTATATGTCCCCATATACTAGCGTTATAATCTAAACAGTTTTTAGAGATAAAACTCTTTACATTCGATTATCATGAAAACAAATATCAGAGAACGGCTGACTAGGTAAAAATGTGTTATTAGACCAACGGTTCATTTTACGCTGGAGTTCTCCTTTAAATTCTTTTCCACTGAAGAAAGAAAGAGATGGATATCTTGGATGCCATTGGGGTGAGTTAATTATAAGGAAATTTACATTTTGAGGTGAACTAATCCTTTAGGTTTAAAATAAAAATGTTTAAATGTAATATATTTTTCTCATGGTCCTTATTTTAAATAGGTCATAAAAATATCAATAATTGTCGATATCAACCAATATGAAACACTTATATCGTGATACAGTTTTCAGACATATCACCCAGCCCTATTTAGAGCCCTATGATTTCCGCGATAACGAGATCGCGGACGGAATCGCGGAATTGGCCAATTAACGCGGAATCTAGTGTTAACGCGGAATTTCGTGGATTTTTACATATTTGGTTTGAAATTCTGTTTTTGTGTGGGAGAAGAACGTATGTCTGTTGAAAATGCAGACCGGGGGAAGCAAATCTGGGCGACTCAACCCCCCAACCCATCATTTCAGCTCCAATGACGAAATCAAAACAATGAAAGCATGGCGAAGCGGC